AAAGAAATTTCAGATATCAGAAATATGAGAAGTCAATTTCGAAATAAAGAATTCTTTCTCTAAGCTCCTCTTACTTTACAGGCAAATTTACCTCTCTTTTATTTTCTGCAGTCTTTCTGGATCTCTTGAAGGTGCATTTTTAGTTTTATCACTTTTTCCATCAGTTGAATTCCAACCTGAAGGAATAATATCTACAGTGATCATGACATTGTCAGTCAAATTACTTCCAAGTGCTGGGGGGACTGCAAATCGGAATAAGGAACCAGGAAGAATCCCTGTTATTCCTGTATTTCTTCCACCTTGAGCCGAATCTGATGTGAAGCCCCCTGTAGCAGCACTGCTCGATGCTGCAGATGCTTGTGGTCTGTTGGCAGCAGCCCCATCGCTCTGTGCTTCAAGATGAACCACTTCATTTGATTCTCTTCTAAAAATATGAGATCTAGATGGTATATCAGAGGTAGGTATTCTTGAAGATTCATCTCTTCCCTCTCGCCTCCTTCTAGAGAACAAAGGTGTACATCTATTCCTAAATGAGGACGATAACCAAGGTCCTGAATTTCTACCTTCAGATTCTTGGTTAAAATTTTCTGAGTCTGGCTCAGAGCTATGATTTTGGCTAAGAGATGACAAACCCCATCTTCGCCTAAGAAATCGGAATCCCTGAGAAGCTTCAGATGCCCTATTATCAGGAACTTCAGAAGTTGATGTTGTATTACTACGAGACTGTGAGGTTGTCAAGATTCTCGGAGAAATATATGAATTTTCAGAACTCAATGATCTTGAATTCAAGGAATCCTGACTAGATCTTCGTGAAAAAAAGGTAGATGACATGCTAGAAGCTATACGTGACAGCAATCTCCTGGTTGTCCGCCTACCTTCATTGTCAGAAGATTCTTGAAATGACCTTTGAGATGAACCAACCCTTTCTGAATTGCTCATGTTTGGGATTTCATCTCTACTTGACATATAAGAAAATCCAGGTTGTGTACTGCTTCGGGGAGAAAAATTTGATCGTAAAGAGTTTCGGCTGGATTCCCTAGAACTTGATAGGGTTTGATGTTCAGAAGGCAATTGGTGGTTTGTGGAGGATGTATTCAACTGTAAAGTGCTCACTGAGTTCTCTTTTGGTCTTGCTCCCTGTGAATATGAAGCAGGAACTCTGTCTTGAACATCTATTTTTAAAAGGAAGGAAAAGTAACCCATTACATGAAATAATTTGAGTATTACTAAATCTGAATTTATTAACTAGATTAAATATTGCTATACCATAACTATAGAACCGAACTATTACTATGAGAAAAAAAAAACCATGAATACATATTTGTTTCCATTCCTACTGATAAAATACATCACTGCTGTAAACAGTCGACATTACAAATTCAAAAGGAAGTAATGCATTTTTAATTCATGAAAAACAAATGAGAAAGTTAAACTTACTAACTAGAAACTGACATGGTAGAAGAATATGCAAAGTGATACAGAATTTTAAATAAGCCAAATAATGGAATGTAAATAATTCTTATAAATAAAAGCAAATTCATCCTAGGAACTATGGATTTTTTTTTTTTTTTTAGAATTACTTATTATTTAATTCCGTTTGTTATTATTATTTTTTAATTTGATCAGAGAGAGACAGAGAAAGGGAAAGGGAGAAAGCAAGTCACCAGATCTGGTACTTGAACAGTTGTCAAGTTATAGGCCATATAGAAACTCAGTGCCTTTTTCCACCATGCCCCTAGAGGGTTTTTTTTTTTTCTTTTAAAACTTCTGTGCACTATTTTAAGTTATTTCACATCAGTATATTCACCCTTGTAATTTGACGGTAAATCTTGGTATTAGCTAAACATTTCTTCAATCTTTTATCTTTTCTTTCAAGTTAACAGCAGTGGTTCTTATCCCTGGTTACTTATTAACTTATAAGACATACCTTTGGAATTTTTTTTTTTGTGTGTGTGTATGTATGTTTTTTGTTTGTTTAAGATTTTTGCCATAAGGCATGTATGCTGCTGGAGAGAGAGGAAGAGGAAGTGAAAAATCACCCTCAAGTATGGGAATGACCACATGTAATCTTTTCTCCTTCACTCTCCTCTTAGGATTTTGGACACACAAGCACACACACCAGTATATTTTCAAAGCAGCTGGGTCTAGAATTTATTCCACTCATTCAGCCATGTGGGAATCCAGCCCCTTAACCACCATACCCCTAGTTTGTTCATACCTTTGCTTTTCAATACTGGCTGAGTCTTTATGTCAGATCAATGAAAAGCAATGCATACTCGTGTTGTACTAAATATGAGTATTGGGAACCAGCAGTTAGCGTAATGGCTATATCACTGAACTCCCATGTAGTCGACCGCGGTGCGCATCCTGGACCCGGTGGCTTAAAACTCATGCTGGGCGTGTGTGCGTGTGTGCCCAAGATCCCAAGAGGGGAATGGGGGAGAAGGGATTGCGGCATGATAATCCCCCCTAGGGGGTGATTTCTCACTTTCTGTCTCTCTGTCTCTGTCTGTCTGTCTGGCGAGCACAAGCACCCTATAGCAAAAACCTCTCCAAAAAAAATATATGAGTATTGTAAGAACTATTTAGTTAAGTCCCTTTATAACATTTGTATTCTTAGAAGAAAATGCGTAGTAAAAAAATTTAAAGGTAGATGGCTTCTGGATATTCATGTATAACTACTTTAAACTGTTTACATTTTTTAAAGGACTTATTTAATTTTATTTATTCATTCATTTATTTTAATGTGACCAGACAGACACAGAAAAAAGAGAAAGTGAGAAAGCGAGCCACCAAGTCTGAGACTCAAAACATGGTCGGCCATGTGCAAGTGTCCAGCGCCTTAGGCACCATGCTACCTGCTGGTCCCCAAACTGTCTACATTTTTTTAAATGCAAAACAAGACAGTACTTCTGAGAAGACATATTAAGCTATTCTGAAATCTTGATAACCTAAGACTTTTCCATTACTCTTTTATATTGTTATTTTAATAGTATACATAAAAATGTATTATTAGAAAAGTTATACTTCATGTAGTTTATACATACATGATGAAGTTGTGAAATCACCACTTCGGTGACTATAATCCAGGAGATTACTAAGAGAGGAATCTGTTCTCCTCTCCAAATCTCTCCTCTCTCTCATTAAGTCTGTTCCAAATGAACCAAGTACCATTGATGAAGATCTGGAAACTTGATTATGCCTCCAAGATGAATCTTAAAAATAAACAGTTGTATTTCAGAGAAAGCTTTCAAGGTTTCTGATAACAAATCTTTGGTAATACAGAGGAAGGTTGTTATTATGGGAATGGGATTCAGTTACATAGTTGCACTCAGAAGTGAAATTTAGCAAAACATAAAATTATTCACTAATGAACTAAGCACTTATATAATTATTTCATACTCAAACACGTTTTTTTTCTGCCTAATACTAAAACCTATCCCCATACATGTTATCAATGTTTCAGTCACTCCACATAACATCTGACCATATAATGCATACATGATATAAAAATGGCTATGGAACAAAAATTCAAATGTTGCCAAAGATGCAAAATTTCACTAACGTCAATAAAATACTGGAAACTGCCAAAATGAAAATTAAAGCCATCTTGAAATGGATGGTGTATTGTGGGTTATAATACAATTTTATCAAAAATATTTTTACTGCTACCATGCTACGTTCATTCTTTATGTACTATAGAAATTATTTTAATTTTATTAGATATGATTTCATTTAATAATAAATTAAGTCTCAAACCTCTTTTCCCCTATTTACCCTAAAAATTTGGTTCTTCCTTTCCTAGTCTCAATAGCCATAATTCCTCTGCACTAAAGGAAATGGCCCAAACTATCTAACGTATGCTTTCACACAGCACAAGAGAACAAGTGAATCCCTGCACAGCAGTGTTTTCTATAAAGTTAAGGTCAGTCTGCTCTTACCCATCTCACTACTCTTAATATCCTTCAGATGGGCAGTGTCTTTCCCATGGCGGTCCTGCCTATCAAAATAGAAAGGAATCGCTTACACTAATTCAAATGGTAATACATGAACATCTTAAGAATTGTATTTCCAATTGTGTTACCACAAGTTCTGCCTCCCCATAAAACTTTTAGGAATTGGCTAAAATTTAATTTGAAGAAAAGTACAAGTGAGGAATAAGTAAATTCCTGTCTTCTCAACAAAAGGTGTTTTGATTTTTGCAACAACAAAAAAAATCTCCTAGTACAAAATACCATGCAAAGAGAATTATGATTAAACAGCTAAATCCCAGAGTGGTAAAGGAACTTACCTAATACCACTCATCTAGTTAAAAGACTAGACTCATGACTTCCTAATTCCTTATACAGAAATACTATCAGAATATCACCAACTTTTTTTGTTTTTTAGCTGAAGAGTTTCTACATTTTCTGAAAATAAATATTGGGTTGTTGGGAAAGTAATAAGCATTTTTGCAAAGAAAAACATAGAAAAATACTTTCCCGAAGACCGAATACTATATATGACAATGTTTATCACTTATGAAAAACATGTTTAAAATGTATTTTTAACATTTATCTGATTTGGCTTTTCCAAAGACAATTTAAAAATTCATTTCCTAAATATAACCAACAGAATACATGTTACTTTTACCAGTTTGATTAGCAGACATGCTAGCTATGCTAATTAATTAAAATTTGTTTGTGTAGGACATCATACCAAATATAGAACAAAACTGAAAAAAGGGGGAGTTAAGTTCAATTCATATACTAACTTTAGTTAACTTCAAATCAAGTAACTAAACTCTACTATGTTTCTGACCCACTTTCTTTCACATACTCTGCTTGCTTAATCTCAAACCTAAGATGATATGGGGTGACGCACAAACATTTCTTACCTGCTACTGTATTTAAACCATTTCCAACATTTCTCCCAACTGAGGTAGATGTACAGTTCGTACAGGAAAGTTTAGGTCTTTTTGAATCATGATCTCGTTGCTGGTTTTGCAATCTTGAGCGTGCTCCCTGAGTTAACTCAGATTCACTATACCATGCAGGTTGAAATGATGATGCGGATGCTGATGCTGATGTAGACTATAAATTTAAAATAAATATTTTTTTTAAAAAAAACCCTATATTTATCATTAAATTTAACCTACAATGCACTAATAAATTCCCAAAGATCATCTATTCCTCACAAGAATCAATTTTTCTACGGTGCAGTTTTTTCTTACTCATTGCCCTCCTCTACCTATTTATCCCCTTGCTATATACTACTATTGTATTTTGTGAGGCTTGCTAAGTCTGAATTACACTGGGTATATATGTGAATGCCCAAGATCTGACAGGTTGGAGAACTGGAGGAAGGAGACAACAGTTGGACCAGTCTCTGTGGAAGGTGTACACCCATCTCTGTCTTCCCCCTTTCTCGAATACATGTATTCTATCCTGAATAAAGAAAAAAGTTCATCCCTGATCTAAAGCATACTCTCAGCAATAGACATATAATAATGATGATATATTAAAAAAAAAAAAGAGAAATCCCAACATCTTGAATTTCTTCATCAGTGAATTAATAAATAACTAAACCAGGTATGTATTATAAAACACTTAGGGCACAGTTCTTTATTTTTGCACATAAATATATGTTCACAAAAGGTAACAATTCATAACACAGACCATACTCAAAATATACAAATATTTTACTTCTAATTCTTTACTTGGTTAAGTATTTTGTTCAATATAACAACACTAAAAAAGGAATATTTCATTTCCTTAATACTGGTTTAAATAACAAGAACATATTCAACCACAATTATTGAAATTCCTGTTATTTTTGTATCACTTGCACGGCGACAAACACACGCACGCACGCACGCGCACACACACACACACACACATACATGTTTGGCATGTAATCAATCCCTAAACTGCTTGGAGACAGAAGGACTCCTAAAAGTAATGTCTGCGAAAACAAAAGAAAATCACTTAAATATTAATATAAGTATGCGATGAATGGATTATTTTATTAAATAATATTAAACTATGTAGCCAGAGGTGGCATGATAGTTAAGGAACTAGATTCCCATATGGTTGACTGCAGTTCAAGTTCTGGACCTTGAGATTGAAAATCATACAGGATGCATTTCTGTGCATGCCCAAAATCCCAAGAACAAAGAAACTGCAATGTGCTCACCCCACTTGGGGGGATGATTTCTCACTTTCTCTCTGTTTCTCTCCAGCTAGGACATGTACCCTATGGCAAAAACCAACCAACCAAACCTAAGAAAAAAATTTTTTAATTCAACTAGGGGCCAGTAGGCGGCGTGGTGGTTAAGTTCAAGCCCTGGACCCAGTGGCTTGAAAATCAAGGTGGGTGCATGTGTGTGCCCAGAATCCCAGGGTTGTGGGGAATGGAGAAGGGACTGCGGTGCGGCCATACTCCCCCCCACCCCTGGGAAATGATTTCTCACTTTCACTCTTTGTCTCTCTCTAGAGGGCACATACACCCTGTGGTGGAAGCGGAAAAAAATTAATTAAAAAATTCAACCAAAGCCAAGTTCTTTTGAATGTTATTTTGCTTAACGGAAAGAACTTAAAATGGAATATATCATGAGCCATAAATGCAGTCTAGGTTAATCTAAAATTCACATGATAATCATGAAAGCCCAAATGATGAGTTCCAACCAAAAGTGCTAGTGTATAGGTAGCAAACAAGTAAATAAACAAATATATAAAGAATTACTATAATAGAAAGATTGGTCGATTGGTCAAAGTTTTACAAAAAAGAGCCTAACTGTCTGAGGGGGACAGGGGAGAACTCTTAGAAGGTAATAATTGGAGTTCACCACATAGGCAAACAAAGTACATTATAGATAACAGACAAAAAAGTTTATGAACAATTCTAACCCGGAATTTCTTCTTAGTATTTACTTTTTTTTTCTCTTATGCTTCCATTATAAGAAGTATATTGCATGAATTTGAAAATGTACTGGTTCATAGTAGCAAAGAAGAGTAAGTTATAAACATATACAGAAATGTAGAAGATGGCAACACTGAAAAGGCAGGAATGGGGCAGGTCAGAATTTCATCAATCTTTTGTCCAGAGAATACTTTACAAATTGAATATGATACTTTTCAATTTAGTATAAATTTGACCACACAACCCTCTGTACCTAACACACTATAGAAACCCAATCAATGAACTAGAGATGCAAGATACAAAATTCCTTATTTATTGAAGAATCAATTTTCTATGCTATTATCAGGCTATTAGGGATTTTATCCTACAGTCCACAGGTTCTAAGACTTTGGGACTTCAGAGATCAAAAAAGTTAAAGAATAGCAACAAACAAGATTTAATTTATAATTAAAAAGAACTGCTGCTGATGGGAACAGCAGTTGGCGTAATGACTATGTCGCTGGACTCCCATGAAGCCAACCGCGGTTCGAGTCCCAGACCCATTGGCTTAAACTCACGCTGTGTGCATGTGCAGGTGAGGAGAATAGAGAAGGGATTGTGGTGCAGACATCCCCCTGGGGGGTGATTTCTCACTTTCTGTCTCTCTGTCTTCCTGGCGTGTGTATGCACATTCAAGTAAAAAAAAAAAAAAAAAATCAAAACTCTCCATAAAAAATAAATAAATAAGAATAAAAATAACTGCTGCTTTTGACCAATAGGATATCAAAAGGTAGTCTAAAAGAACAAAACCTACCTAATCCCATACAATGCTTTTAAAGGAAAATTTAATATACTCCTCCCAAAGTTAAATGATGATTCAGAATAAAGCAAATATATTTAAACTGAATATATTTGTATTTGTACAGAGTCCGTAACTTATTATTTTTCTCTTTTTCCATGGACTGGACAATCTTACTGAACAGCACACTTCTGCAAACATAACCTTGGCAACCACTGAAGAAAGGAATATCATCACATCTCCTACTTTACAGGAAAAGATCCTTTACAGGGGTGTGAAAGATGAGATAGGTAGAATGGACAGAAAAATGGAAAACCAATCAGGAGATCACTGGAATAGAAAGAAATAAGCCCCTGCAACAAAAGTAATGAGAAAAGTGATGATTATAGGAGATAAAAATTTATTAGACTGGGGACCAGCAGTTAGCATAATGACTATATCCCTGGACTCCCATGTAGTCGACCACGGTTCACGTCCCGTACCCGGTGGCTTAAAACTCACTCCGGCTGCGCATGTGTGCATGCCCAAGATCCCGAGAGGAGAATGGAGGAGAAGGGATTGCGGTGTAGCCATCCCCCCTGGGGGGTGATTTTTCTGTCTCTCTGTTGAGCACACACGCCCTATAGCAAAAACCGCTCCAAAAAAAAAAAAAATTATCAGACTGAAAAACTATGAGACATAAAGAAAAATTCTGAAATCATTCCCATTGTTTTCTGGCACTAGCTACTGGTAAGACAAATGAATGCCATTTACTGAAAATACCAGGTCTAGTTAAGCTAGTGTTGGCTGACACTACTACTTAATGGAGGAAAAGAGAGAGAAACCCATGTACGTACGTACGTGCATGCCTGTGTATGTAGAGAGGCAGAGGCAGCAGCAAACTGAGACTTTAAAAAGACACATTTCATTTTAGATAACTTGAATTATGAAGTGCCCACAGGCTTAAAGACATTCTTACTGTAGGGACCAGCAGTTAGCGTAATGGCTATGTCGCTGGACTCCCACGTAGTCGACCGCAGTTCGAGTCCTGGACCCGGTGGCTTAAACTTACGCCGGGAGAGTGTGCGTGTGTGCCCAAGATCCCAAGAGGAGAATGGAGGAGAAGGGACTGCAGTGTGGCCATCTCCCCTGGGGGGTGATTTCTCGCTTTCTGTCTGTCTCTATGTCTCTGTCTGTCTGGCGAGCGCATGTGCCCTATAGCAAAAACCCCTTGCCCCCCCACCAAAGACATTCTTAATGTTTAGGAAATCATTTTCATGACTCAGAACTCACAACCTATGTGGCTTATGTATATCAACCCAGAGAAAAGAATGCTTATTATCATTGGAACTGCATAACTTCACAATTCCACCAACAATGTATGAGGGATCCAATTTCTCTGTTGGCGTCTGTGTGTTTTTTTTTTTTTTTTTTTTTAATTTGCTATAGGGTGCATGCACTTAGCAGAGAGAGAGAGAGAGAGAAAAGAAAGCACATCTCCAAGGAGAGATGGCCACGCAACAATCCCTTCTACATTCTCCTCTCAAGACCCTGGGTGTGCACACATATGTGCCCAGGCTGATTTCCAAGGCACAGATTTGGGATTCGAACCATGAAGCTGGTCATGTGGGATCCAGCTGCCTTAATCTCCACACCACCTGCTGGCCTTGTCTGTCATTTTTATTTTAGCCATTATAATGGGTAGGAAATGGTATAGTTTTGATCTGCATTTACCTTACTGACATATGGCTTATCAGCCACTTCTATATCTTTAAAGAATATCTATTTAAATCCTTTGCCCATTTAAAGTTAGGTTGTCTTCTTTTTTTTTCGAGACAGAGATTTTTTTTTTGCTACAGGGTATGTGCACTCACCAGAGAGACAAAAAGCCAGAAATCTCCTCCCCAGGGGAATGGTCACGCCACAACCCCCTCTCCTCCATTCTCCTCTTGGGATTTTGGGCACATACGCACACACAGTTGGTATGAGTTTTAAGCCACTGAGTCCAAAACTTGAACCACTGTTGATTATGCGGGAGTCTATCGACGTAGCCATTACATCTGGGTCCCTAGTTTGCTTTTTTGTTGAAAAGAGCAAGCTTATCTTAATAGTCGGAATGTGTCCCTGTCAGACATACACTTTGCAAATGTTTTCATTCTATAGGTTGTCTTCCCTCTTTGAGTCCCTTAATATAGCCAAGTTTTGGAAACGTACTCTTCGCTCTGTTGTCTCAAGACTAAGAGCACTCATATGAAACTGAGTAATTAAATTCAATAATAAATAAAGTTAAAATAAAATGATTATTTAAAAAAAAGGGGAGGGACGGCAGGTGGCGTGGTGGTTAAAGGTGCTGGAGTCCCACATGGCCGATCGTGGTTCAAGTCTTGAATCTGGTGGCTTGCTTTCTCACTTCCCCCCTCTCTCTCTCTGTCTGATCATACTGGAAAATAACAATAATAATAAATAAAGTTAAAATAAAATAATTATTTTAAAAAAAGGAGTAATTAAATTCCACTTAGGATTTGGTTCTCTTCTTTTTGAGTAAATGTTCACTCTCTATCCAGAATATGTAATAGATATGACTTCTACAGTTAACATTTTTCAAGAATTACTTCCAACTTAAATGGCTAATAATGACATGAAAAGGTGCTGTGTAGTATGTGAACTACACCTTAAAAAAGATGTTACTAAAGTAGGGGGGGTGAGGATTCAGCCCAACCAAAGTAGCTGAAATAATGTAGCATATATCTGAAAAATCACTAATTGAGAACAGTTTTTAGACTCAAAGGCTAATGACACTGTATGTACAATGAAATGAAGAAAAATTTCTGAATTTTCTAGTAGGGAATCCAATTTTCATTTTATTTTTACCCTTTTAATACTTATTCAGGTTATCTTTCCAACAAGAGATTTACTTCAAAATAAATAACAAAATCATGTAGTATTATTACTATACAAATCAATATTTGCCTTCAGAAAGTAATAATTTCTTTTCTTTTTTTTTTTTTTTGGAGACGTTTTTACTATAGGGCGTGTGTGCTCGCCAGACAGAGAGAGACATAGAGACAGAAAGCGAGAATCACCCCCCAGGGGGGATGGTCACGCCGCAATCCCTTCTCCTCCAGGCATCTTGGGCATGCACGCACACACGCCCGGCGTGAGTTTTAAGCCACCGGGTCCAGGACGTGAACCGCAGTCAACTACGTGGGAGTCCAGTGACATAGCCATTATGCTAACTGCTGGTTCCCAGAATGTAATTATTTCTAAGGTTTTAAAAAATATTCCCCACATCAGGCACATGTGCATGCATGCCCAAAATACCAACTGGAGAACTGAGGAGAAAGGATTGTAGTGTGACCATTCCCCCCTAGGGGAGTGATGTCTAGCTTTCTGTATTTGTGTAGAGCACACACAACCTGTATTAAAGCAAATCTCTTTACGAAAAAAAAGAAAGAAAGAAAGAAAGAAAGAAAGAAATTGCCAACACAAATGCTCTTAAAATAATGCAAGACAAAAGAATCTTAATGGGGACCAGCAGATGACATAATGGTTACATTGTTGGATTCCTACATGGTTCAAGTCCCGGACCTGGTGGCTTAAAACTTGGGCCAGGTGTGGGGCCTGCAGATGGCATGGTGGTTAAGGCAGCTGGACTCTGACAAGGCTGACCAGTTGAGTCCTGGACCTAGCAGCTTGCTTTCTTACTTTCCTTCTCTCTCTTTCTGGTCAACCTCAAAAAACTAAATACATAAATAATGACAATAAATAAAATTAAATAATTCTTAAAAAAAAAAAAAAACAAAAACTCATGCTGGGCAACTGTGTGTGCATGCCGAGGAGAATGGAGAAGGGACTATGGCGTGGCCATCCCCCCTGGGAAACAATTTCTTGCTTTCTGTCTTTGGCGAGCACAAACACCCTACAGCAAAAAATCTCTCTCTCTCGATAAAAGAGAATCTACTGAAAAAATACATGCAAATCAAACATCTAATAAGGAACTTTTATTAGAACTTATAAAGAACACTTACAACATAAGGATAAAGGTAACTACATTTAAAAAATGAGCAAAGGAGCTGAACAGGTATTTCTTAAAAGATGTACAGTCAATCAGCACATGAAAAGATGCTCAACCTCATTGTCAAGATAGCCAAACCCAAACTAGCAAGTGATTCTTCCTCAGAAATCATGCCTTCTGAAATTTAGTGTTACATTACAACTATGGCTACGACATCAATAAGCTGTTTTAAACACATATGAGCTGCTGGTCTTAAAAGAAAACAAAGAGCAGATGGATGAATTGGTATAACTTCTTACTACCCTAAGAAATAAAACCCAAAAATTCATTTAAAACACTATAAATTCTGTCATAAAAGGTTCTCCAAGAAAAACACTCATTATTCTACCACTGTTTTGTGTACATGAAGAAAAAGTCGGATGAATGGGAGTTTGATATCAGAAATAAAGGTCCTTTATTTTTGGTCTTTTAACAAAGTCATCCATATTGACCGTTTGACTAAGTGTATACCCCTAAACTGATACTTAGGTTTTGTTTCCTAAAATTTGCCAAAGGTGTATACACTCATTGGAGGGTGGGGGGGGAGAGGGAACAAAAGCATCCCCATGGGGAATGGTCACACCACAACCCTCCTCCCCAACACACACCTTTTGAGATTTTGGGCACTACAAATGCCCAACCTGTTTCTCAACAGGGTCTGGGACTCATGCAGTTGGCCATGTCGTAATTCAGCCACCTTAACAAACACGAGAGAGCTGGTCCCAATACTTATTTTTTATTTTTCTTTTTAGGTTTTTGCCATAGGGCACATGCAATCAACAGAGAGGGAAAATGGGAAATCATCCCCCTATGGGGAAGAGGGGACAGCCACACTGCCATCCCTCGGAAAAATAGAATTTTATAGAAGGCCACAGTAACATGTCTATAATTCTGAAGTCCAAACCATTTGGAAAGCATTAGTCATTCATTTTGGTACAGATACATTGTTTTAATTACAAGATGCCTACTGCTTAAAAATCCCCAAGGATTGTGAAAAAGATTTTACACATGTATTCCAAATTAAGATGTAGGTGTGACGACACCCTGTCAAGGGGTGCTCTTGTTTCTGTACTCTTTATCTATCAATCAATCAATCAATCAATCAATCAATCAAGTTACCTGATATTCAGAATCCAGTCTAAATGAAGAATCTCTTGTGTGATAGGTATCACTGAAACTACTTCCTCTGCTTCCAGACATCATCCTAGCACTTAAAGAGCTGGAGGGTTGAACGGAAATTCTTCTTGGAATCCTTGAAGGTTTAGACTCCATTCTTAAGGTTTCCTGTGAAATGCAAATTTTTATTAATTGCCACTGGGAGAACAAGCAAGTCTTTAATTTTTAATCCTCCTAAATCATCAGCTCACATACAGAATTAATCATGCAAACGAATTATATCCATAAGGTAAATTGTGAGATTACCCCTGTCTCCCTCACATACCTGAAGTCCACCAAAGGGTTTTTATTGTCCATAAAATGAAGTAAAAAGTGACACAAGGAACTTTTTTTTTCTTTGAGAAGTTTTTCACTATAGGGCGTGTGCGCTCGCCAGACAGAGAGAGACATAGAGACAGAAAGTGAGAAATCACCCCCCAGGTGGGATGGTCATGCCGCAATCCCTTCTCCTCCATTCTCCTCTCGGGATCTTGGGCACGCATACACACGCGCCTGGCGTGAGTTTTAAGCCACTGGGTCCGGGACGTGAACCGCGGTCGACTATGTGGGAGTCCAGCGACATAGCCTAATATTATGCTAACTGCTGGTTCCCTGACATGAGGAACTTTTGAGGTCTGCTGTTTCCAAAATCTGGCCAGTTTTCCTTACTCAATTTTGTCTCCACAGAAAATCCTACATGATTTTGTTCTTTACTCTCTCAGTGTTCATACTGATTATTAGTGTTCAATGCTCACATCTACTGTACTATTTGCATACCCCTTGCTTAGCACAATATGCTCTCACGAGCCTTTGTATATGTCTAGAAAGTCTACATCTTTCCTATTCAATTCCTGGTCATCAGTTTAAACAGACACCTTGTCCTTGTTTCTACTCTGGACTTTTTATCAAGACATTATAAGGCCAGCCTTGTGGCCTAATGGTTAATGGAGCCAGATCCAATATGGCCGACTTCCTTGAGGTGTGTGTGTTTGTGTGTGTGTGTGTGTGTGTGTGTGTGTGTGTGCCTGTGTGTACCTTAAATCCCAACAGGTAAGAGAAATAGAGAAGGGATTATGTGACCACACCCCACCTCACCGTCTCCCTGGTAAGTGCACAGGGCCCTCTGGCAATTTAAATAAAATTCATTTTTTAAGTTGGAAAAACAGCCATCATCTAAGAAAGAAGGTATATTTAAAAAAAAAAGAAAGAAAAAAAGAAAAAGGAGGTATAATTGTATGTGGGTGAAAATGTGAATATTTACATAGCCATAGTAATATAACAAAACAATGAAAAATCATAAAATAACAATGTAAGCCCATCCTTGAGAAATACGAAGGCAAATAAATCCTAGAAAATATAGTTGAATAGCTTAGAGTAACTGCCTTTAGAAAGTTGAATGATGGGGGCCAGCAGGTGACAACATGGGGGTCGAGGGCCCTGGACGCCCATGTGGCTGACTGCGGTTTGAGTCCCAGACCTGGTAGCTTGCTTTCTTATTCACTCTCTCTCTCTCACACACGCTGTCTCTTTCTGGTCAAATTTAAAAATAAATAAATAAATACAATTAAATAAAATAATTCTTACAAAAAAGGTTGAAATAGGAATAGGTAGTGGGTGGAGGCAAAGGAGTACTATTTTCCTCCCAAGCAGGATGATTATATTTTCCAATTTGCCTAGAACAGTCTCAAGTTTATGCCCTGAAAAGTCCCAATTTATTTTCGTTATCGTAAGATAATGGCTTGAGTGCCAGACCTGGCGGCTTCCTTTCTCACTCCCTGCCCCCACCTCTTTCACTCTATCCCTCTCTGATCAAATTAAATAAGTCAAATAAAATAATTCTTAAAAAATAAAAAAATGTAGGTTGGTCTGAATGATAAAGTATAATGTCACCTAACTTATATTTTCTGGTATAAGCTTTTTACAAATTGTGTATAAATTTGACAAGTCCATATAAAAATTTTCATTAAATAGAGTTGAACTTTGAATTGGGAATTCAAAAGCATACATCAGGAGAAATATTAACAGTTTAGCTGACATGCAAAAGCCTATGAACAATTTAACAAATACTGGATGTGCTATTTTATCAAGGCTATGAAAATACTAAGTAAAAACACTGTATTTGTAATCTGAAGATTGTAAAGAGGCACAAGATGTTTTTTGAAATATATATATATATATATATAGAGACACACACACACACACACACACACACACACACACAGGGCGGTTCTTTAATAACAACAATGCCTCCAGTAGTTCACTGTGAATATATTCTTATTCAGTTCTTACTTGCAGACTTGTAGAACAAAACTAACCTAGTAGGAAATCTGCTCAAAATAAACCTCTTGGAAAAAGGCAAAGAGGCAGAGTCCTCTGAGAGATATAATTTGATATTGTATGAAACTATTTTTGGCAACTCCTCTACATAAATTGATTGAATTTTGACAATGTAGGTGTTTCATGAAAACTTACATAATTTGGTTGCATAAGTTGTAGGTCAGAAGCACAAAAAAAAAAAAACCCAGAAAAAATTAAAATGCATAGTCCTTGAAAAATTCCTACTAGACAAAATATTAAAGAGTTTTAAGTCCTAAAGGAGAAAAAGTGTGAGAAAAATAAACAGATAGGAAATTTTTTTTTTTTACTTTTTTTTAACTTAATGCTTTTAAAAGAAGCATTTTAAAGGAGACCAGCAGTTGGCACAATGGTTTTGTTGCTGGACTTCCATGTAGTCGACTGCGGTTCAAGTCTCAGACCAGGTAGCTTAAACTCTTGGCATGTGCATGAGAGCCCCAGATCCTTAGAGGAGGATGGAGAAAGGATTGCAGCATGGTCATCCCCCCAGGGGGTGATTTCAGGCTTTCTCTCTGTGTCCCTCTTTCTGGCAAGTGCATGCGCCTTATAGCAAAAATTCACCACCACCCCCCCCCCAAAAAAAGACTTACCTCACAGCTTTCTTTCTGTCTGTCTCTGGTTAATGCATATGCCCCATACCAAAACTTTTAAATAAAATAATTCTTAAAATAGTAATACTTAATAAATTCAGATTTGATTCCAGAGTTGAACAGTCAGGTTCTCTTTTTTTCTAGTAAGACAAAAATGTATCACTAGGGTTGGCTTCTAAGGTGTGGACTCTGCACTCGATTAAAAGTTCTGCTTCAGGGACCAGCAGGTAGCATGGTGGTTAAGGCTTTGGACTCCCATAAGCCGAACTTCAGTCTGATCCTGGACCTGGTGGCTCGGAAATTATGCCAGGTACATGTGCTTGCATGCCCAAAGTCCCAAGAAGAGAATGGAGGAGAAGTGACTGTGGTGTGGCTATCTCCCTTGGGGGTGATTTCTCACTTCCTTCCCATTGTCTCACACCAGCAACCACAGGTGTCTCATGGGAAAACAAAAACAAAAAAAGAAAAACAATTTACACTTAGTTTCCCAAAATTTCTTTCATGTACTTGATCTTACTTAATTAAGGCAGTTATTTACAAAAAGAGAAACTATTTTTAAATCATATTACAAGGAAATTTTATGATGAACTCCTAAGAATTCCCTTTTTAAAATGTTGGTTTATAGCCTTAGTATCTATATATCAGAAAGGAAGTAGTAAATGTAGTAAATACTAAACAATAAACTAATGTTCTGCTAAACACTAAGTGAAAAATAAGGTTGAAACTTCACAAAATTAATTTTAGATAACCTTTTTGTAACTTGATTTTTTTTTCTTACTATGAAAAATTTCAAACATACAGATAAGTCGGGAAAAAAATTAACTTCCATTTATCAATTAAGTTTTCAGCAGTTATCAACATTTGACCAATCTTGTCTATTTTATCACCCCTTATGTTACTTTAAAGCAATTCTAATCATGACATTTTAAGGATACCCATTTGTTTCTGTTTTGTAGTGTTTGCTACAGAATATGTGTGCTCACCAGAGAAAGTGAGAAATCACCCCCCTCCACCCCACCCCCGGAGAATGGGCACACTGCAGTCCCTCGTCCTCCATTCTCCTCTCAGGATTTTGGGCACGCACGTACACATACACAGCATGTTTTCCAAGCCACTGGGTCCAGGACTCAAACCACTCTGTACACCATGTGAGATCTACCCCTCTTAACCTCCACACCGCCTGCTGGCCTAGGGGTACCTATTCTCATAATGGTTTAAACAAATTGTGGTAAAATATAAAATATGACTACAAATAGCTGGTACCCTAGTATGCAAACCCTTTGCAAAGTAATGTTGCTGGTCTGCCAGGACAAGGAGGAGTCTTACTTTCCCACCCCTGGAATGTGGGCTAGCCTGTGAGATTTGATGTGACTAAGCGAATGCAGTGTTTAAGTAGCATTGCATTATCTGCAAGATTGTATGAGGGCTTACAGCTTCCATTTCACTCTCTTGGAATGCTGTCCGGAGACACCCATGTCATAAAAGATCATAAGGAGTGAGGCCTATGTGTCAATGAACACCAACTGCCAGACACGTGAGCGACTCCATCTTGAACCTCCCAGCTCAAGAGCTGAAGGCTTGCTTATACTTGCATGAACCCTGGTAAAACCAGTAGAACTGCAACTGTAAAGACATTATACAACTGTTTTAATCCACTAGGTTTTGAAGTAGCCTATTATACAGGGACAGGGCAAATAAAATATCATTCATTTATCCTTTTACTTTACTACTATTATAACATTATCTTATGTTTCTAGTCTCCAAGAAAAACTTGAACTGGGTCTAATGCTGAATCTATGTTAAATGTCTGTATTAAATGTGTGTGTGTGTATGTAGGGTCCTGTGGTTTCTGAATTACCGAAGTCCATCATTTACTATACAATAAATTCATGGCATGAATAGGCCAGAGTTACCACAAAAAATACCAATGTATTTTAATAGCCAGGAATCTCAAGAAACACAAATGTAGTTACAATTCTACTATTTACCTGTATTCCTAGTATTGTTTTGTTTAAAGAAATCTGCTGCTGGTAATTATTTTTTATGAAAAAATTTCTCTTTCATCCATAAGGAAGAGAGTTTTTTTTCATTTGGAAAATTTTACTGATTCTAGTGAACACGCAGACATGGAACCTAAGGATGGTCAAATATGGGAAGCAACTTGAGAATATACAACTTTTAGGGGCTTAAAAAAAACCCGAAAAACCTTTATTTTTAGCTGACAAATATTCAGACACAAAGATATACCCAGGTTAAAAGAAAACAAAAAAACCTATAACCTGATGATAATGGAAAGGTGCCCTCTTTTAAAGCTATACCCCTAAAAATGGGCATAGAGCAGTAGGTGATTTTAAAACCAGATGGTTCAACTTAACTAGTCTAATTGGTAGTCAGAGAAAAATGTACTTGAGAGCAGGAAAAACCAGTTTTGAACACGTAAGTTCATGTCAGAATAGAAACGTTAAAAATGAAATTCAATAAAAATTAAATCCCAGTCAACTCTCAAATTATAATTTAATCTCCATTCCCTTCCCCTGGGCTTTATGGGCTCATCATTATGATTACCAACTATTGAAAAAGAGAATTTCTATAAAATAGTGATTTGTGAGAAGGTAATGAATTATTTCATTTTAGTAGAATTTTGCTTTGGTGAATTCAAATAATCTTAGTAGTAAATCAAAATCTCATCCATTGCAAATTGTAATAATTCTAACATGATATTCAACAGTTAGGTAAATTAGTTAAGTTTGTTAAAAATGAGGCTTGAGGAGCAGTCGGGGCGTGGTGGTTAAGGGCACGGGAGTCCCACATGGCTGAATATGGTCCCAAACTCACTTTCTCTCTCTCTCTCTCTCACTCAATCCCTCTCTTTTCAAATTTAAATAAATAAAGTTAAATAAAATAATTCTAAAAAATAAAAAGAGGCTTGAAGCAAGCTTGTGGATTTCACTCATGCTTGTCTCACTGTTTATTACCAGAACTGAAGTATCTGTGTTAACAAAATGATGTGCTAGCAATAACAAGAACAAAAAACTAAAAATTTTCATTTGGTTTAGGGACACAATAGGTCTTCATTCCACAACACAGAACATTAACTTTTAACTTTTTCTTGTAACTTAAAAAAAATAAAAAATAAAAAAAATTCCAGAGCACGCTTGTCAGAAAGAGAATGGGGAACAGGCATTTCCCCCCTCAGAGTGCGGTCACACTGCAAGCCCTTCTCCATTTCTCTATCCAGTTGAGATCTGAGCTCACATGGACCCGTGCTCAGCCTGCTGACTCAAATCAACCATGTGGGATCCAGCTCTCTTAACCACTGGGCTACGCGGACAGAACAAGCACTAACTTTATAGGACAATACCTAACATGTTTCTATTAGGCTCTAAATTTCCATTGAGTTTCAGTTCTGAGGACTAAATAAATGCTATCAGGACTTGCATAGTTAGCTTATCAAAGTCCATCAAACCTTAGTTTAAAAAGCAGTATTTCCTGTAAATTCTCCTCTAAGATAAGGGCCCCTCCTCTATGCTCTCACACTAATACTAACAGCTACACAAAGATAACAACAGTATTTGTTGATCCATTTGTCTGATGACTCAATGTGAAGGCAGATGCCATGTCAAGCCCATTCTTGTACTGTAAAACCCTAGCCTAGAAAACCACACTACAGCAAATTATGAATAATGAAAGTGTCATGATTTGTAGATTTTTAACTACAAGATTATTTTTCTTGAAATACAAAATTAAAATATGGACAATTCTTGAACACATTAACAGATCAAGAGTAGTGTGAGGCTGACTAAAAATTGGCTACGTGAGTGTCACAAATGAATTATATCAGTTGATATCTTCATGTAGAACACAGGGGTGTCTTTGTGTCCTGTGTGGGATAATGTGGCAGAAAAGTCACTTGTACTTAAGTGAACAAAATTCTTATTTAAGATAGCTGAGTACTCTTCACCTGTAATTCTGGGTAAAACTTGTAAAAAGTTCTTACCTAAAAAACATGTTAAAAAGAACTTACATAAATACACATTACTGTGTTTATAAAGCAGTCAATACTCTGTGGAGGACACATCATTGGCAGAATAAATTAAAAAAAAATTCTGACCTGAATGTTTGAATACAAACAATTCCAGTTGTTTATAGCACTAATTTAATAATAAAGGCAAAAATCAGGACTGGAATCCAGATCTTCTTACACTCCAGCTGCTGTCTCAAGTACTATTGCAGTCTCAGGTAGTGCTATAGAGCTGGTAGGTGAAATGCTGACCCCATTCCTGAAACAAAATTTATCTCACGAAAAAAACAAACCTAGTTACACTCTGTTTCTGCCTTTTACAGTATACTGTTTGATTTTAAAATCTAAAAGTCATCTTTAACCTTATCTCCTAGCGCAGGATAGAAACGGGCACATGGTAGCAAGAAAGAAGACGACATGGAGAAAAAAGAAAAACCCTACAAATCGGGGGAAAAAACGTTACTACGTTCAGTTTTACAAGGACCATTTCCTCTTAATATTGCCAAATGACACAAGTCGTGACGAATCTATTACTCAGCCAGATTTCCCCAGATATTGTAGTACTTGGTTTTGAACGCAAGAAGTATTAACTGTAGTAATTTGGGGTGTGTTTGTACACATTCATCTTCACTACGCAGTTTCACCGAAATGAGAAGAGTACTACTACTGGCGTCTTCCATATTTTTACTTCTTCCGCCAACAGGTATGTTTTTTACACACTGGATCGCCCGCGTCGAATTCAAAGATTCCACGATCCAATCACCTAATTTACCCCGCAGCACCCAAACGACCCGCAAAGTGTCACCACAGTCAAGCACCGGAGCTACAAAAAGCGAATCCTCAGACTCCGAGGGGCCGACGCCGTCGCTCCCATCCGAGCCCGGGCTGGCGGAGCCGAGCCCCGCCGCCCCCGTCCGCTTCCCCACTTACCTCCCTCGTGGCACCCCCGGCCCCCGCAGCACCCTCCCGACCGCCGCCGCCGAGGCCACCCCAGGCCAAAGGAGGGCTCCGGCACCTTCCCCTCGCCCACCGCGCGCCCGGAATGAAGACGTACAATCTGCCCCGCACCCGCCACAACCTCCCCGTCGAACCCGAAGCCCGCCGGCGGCGAAGGTTCCCTTCCTCCCGCGCCCCGGCCCGTCTGCCCACCTGGCCCGGGCCGCCTCGGCGTCCCCAGGCCCGCACTCGGGCTCTCCCCTCCCCCACCCGCGGCCTGGCCTCGAATCGCCGCACCGAGAGGGGCAGGCCCGAGCGCCGCAGCTAGTTACCCCAGCTCGGGAGCTGAGCCCGGGCAGGGCGCGTCCCGCTCGCAGCAACCACACGGCGCCTTCCTCCTCGGAGTTCCAGGCCTCTACTGAGGCACGACCGTCCACG